ACCTTATGGGAAAATTTGATTCGGGTTGCGACCAATTCGGGTCGCGACCAGAGTCACGGAATGAATTAAGTTCATGACCCGAGGTACCACTGTAGATTTCTAGCATCAGTACAGAATAAATGTCTCATAAGACAGAGAAATAATAGCAATTAGGTTTTTGCTGTGTTGTGGTAAACTCCTGCCTGGGACCGATCCAAGAAGAAGGAAGAAGAAATATTCCTTGAGGTGTGACTGATTAATTGTTATTGCTGGGATAGGCCCCCAGAGGCAGGGGTTCTCTTCTAAAACCATAGAGCAGCAAAGGCAAGATCTCAGGACCAAATGTGGAACCCAGAGTAATTGGGTCTCTTGGAACCATTCAGAAAATAGCAAGTGATAGTAGTGGCCAACCGGTCTGGCATCAATGTTCACTAAGGCATCCTTGCTTTTTCTTTATTTTAAAAATCATTTTAATGTCAGCTGACAAGTGGCAGGATGCATGTGACTGCAGATCTACACACAATAATTTTATTACCCTTTAAAAAAAAATGGTTCTTATTGTGAAGTAAATATGGTTAACATCAGGGCAGTAAAAAGAAACTCTACTTTATTCTTGCAGTCATAATAGTGCTGTGATTTAAATGAATTTAACATGTGAAAATGCAAATGCTTCCAGGTGTTCATCTAGACTGGCAAAACAGATTTTTTTATTGCTTGCATTTTAGGATATTTTCTATGCATATGCATGCCAGGACATGTTTTCTGTCATATCCCTCACTTAGTGTCATCTTTATTCCACCAATATTAAAGTAGTGTTTTTTTCATTATCCTGACACTATCCAAGAGCAGTATCAAGATGTCATCCATTATATTGGAAGTAAAGTGTGGTGACTAGCAATGGGTGGGATCAAATCAGTGCTTATTGGATTTCAAGATGATCTGGGCACACCATCTCCCCTCTGGTCCCTGATCAGCCTTGTAGACCACTTCTTTGTCACTGTCTCCCTAAAGAGCTGACCCAGCAGAAACGTGGCTTTCCAGCTGACCCAGCAGAAAGAGCTGACCCAGCAGAATTGCACAATAGCACTAGATGGCTCAGCAAGCAATACTATAAGTGCTTCAACCTTATTGGTTTAGTGCAAGGCTGATATAGCAGAACAGTGGAATAGCGTAATAGACTGGAAGAGTTTAACAGCTGAAATTACAGGACCAACATCTCTCCACCCAAGAAAGCACAAAGCAATCTGGAAATTGGCATTTGTTGCCAATACAAGGAAAAGAAAGTAAGGAAGCAAAGGGAGAGAAATGATGCTTGTGTTTCCTCAGCCTTCATGATTCCAAATGGTCCTGTTTTAACTTTATTCAGCTTGAGTTGCAATAGAATGGAATCTAGAAGACGACACAGGAAGAAGCCTACAGGTGGACCTGCCCCACTTCTGCTTCAGTGATGTGACTGGAGGATATTTTTTCTGCTAAGTGATGATTTGCAGAAGGAGGAGGATAGCAAAGCTGCCCCTCCAATGCAAACAGGGAGAATAGATGCACTCTGGGTCCCATCACTTAAGCAGTGTTTCTTGTGGGGCCCATGAAGCATGCCTTCTCTGTCATGGCACCTGCTCTCTGGAATGATATCCCCCAGAGATCTGGATGGTTTCACCCTGATGAGGTTGAGAAAGCTCTTAAAGACCTAGTTATTCTCCCAGGCTCTGGGGCACAGCAAAGGTTGAGACCTGTTGAATAGGCTTTCAGTATTCTCCTTCTCCTTCTCCTTCTCCTTCTCCTTCTCCTTCTCCTTCTCCTTCTCCTTCTCCTTCTCCTTCTCCTTCTCCTTCTCCATTATTTTAAATTTATTGGCCACCCAACTCCAGTGGATTCTGGGGTGGTTCATAATTCTTTTTTGTGTGTTGTACTTGTTTTTACTTTTAATTATAAGCTGCCCAGAGTAACTGGGAGTCAGGTAGCCTATAAATTGTGTGTGCATATATATGTACAAATAAATACTGTATATAAATACCATTAAACTTATGCTAAAGTGGAATATTGGGCATAGCACCAAATATATAAAGCTGCTGCATGCTATCAATTCACAGGATCTATTTGATACATTGGTTACAGGTAGCAGCAGTTTCTTGAAGACTTCACTGGAAAATCTTCAGCAACAGGAAACGCCAGGATCAAACTGAACCAGCATCTTCCACATGCTAAATAAGCTCTGCTGTTGAGTTATGACCCCATCTCTCCATACTGTCACATTAAAGACAAATGGTTCTGTCATATCCTGCTCCTCATAGCCAGAAATGTGACAGAAAAGGCTGTAAAACAGGAACAAGTAGGAAATGGTTTGAGCAGCATAAAAATTTTAGACTGCTCTCTATATATCTTGGCATGTTATAACTCTAGGATAACTCTATCCTTTAATGTGGAAATAAACTACATCGGCATTCAGACGTAGTTATAAGCAACTTATATCCCAATGTTCTGCTCATCGCTGGTGGCTACTGGTTTCCTAAAGTGACTTTTTTTTTTTACCAATTTGCTTAATATTCTATGTTCACTGATTGACACAATTCTGCCTGTGGAGCAAGGAAAGGGAGTAATACATTGAAGGATAACCTTATCCACAGAGGGAAAAGAAGCAGAGCATCCACATGACTTCAGAAATCAAGAAGCTGGGGATGCATTGAAGGAGCACGTACTCACCAAGCCAGGCAAAGTAGAGAGCAATCTTCTCTCCAAAGTACCTGCGGATGTGATTCAAAGGCTGGTATTTCTTCCACTTACTCCACCGAGCCCAATAATGGAAAAGAATCTGCCTCTGATTAAGGAGAATCATGGGCTCTTCCTCTGTTGGTATCTTGTATGGGCCCTTTGGCAGAGAGCGATATTATCCACATAAAATACAAATATAAATCTGGGTAGTATATTTTACATGAACTTTCTTGGACACTTTGTAAGTACTTTATAAAACACAATAATTAATAACGTGAGCAGCCAGAAATAGTTAAAATTAGATAGTCATAATTATATATTATATAATACTTATGCATACACACATTATACATTTTATAAATTATAAAATTATATAATCACATTATATAATTTTCATTCATACATACATTCCTACTATAATCTCTTTCAGGGATTGCAACATTATCCAAAGTGCAGAAAGCCAGTAAAAAGTAGTCAGAAAAGAAATGCAAGAAAAAGGAAGGTGAGAGAAAAGAAATCTAACTAAATCCATACTATTCTCTAAACTGTTCTGTATCTTTCTATCCTTGCAAGCCATTCCTGTTTCCATCACATCATGTTGATTCCTATGCTGCCTTTTTTTCTTTAAACTTCTTTCTTTTTGAGGATCTCACCAGCTCCATCAAACACTAATTCTATGTCTTTTCCTTCCTATTGACCCATTCACTCTTCCTTCATATATTTGTTTGACAATTTAATCATTCATTATTTCTACATGGCCAAACAATCTCAATATATTTCTCTCATACTGGTTAGTCACATGCACACGCTTAAAGTATTCTTAACCAGAAATTAATGGCTAAATGCCATATTTTGGAAGCAACTGATGTCATTCCTGCTCCGAGATACAAAACTGTGATGCCCCAATTTGATGTCCCCAAAAGTGCCCACGGAAATATAGATTGATCCTTTTCTGTCATGGTTAAAGTTCCCAGGGCAATTTCCCCCATCAATCAAATACCTGAAGTATTGAACTAATTTTTTAAAATGACCTGCTCTATACAATTGCTATCCATATTCCATCTGTGCTTTTTCTATTTTTACAAAAAGTAGGGAGCAGGTTTTTTAAAAGAAAAATTCAATATCTTAATCTTTTGGCAGTTAATTACAAGGGATTCTCACTTAGAATAGGTGGCCAAAGATCTGAATGATCCTCTTACACCAGGGGAAGAACTATTGCATCTTCAGCATACAGTAATAAAGCTACTGCTTTATGTACCAACTCTGAAGGAGAAGTAATGACTGTATCAACTCAGCTTCCAAATATTTTATATACAAATTAAATTAAGCAGGAGCTAATACACCCGTTTCACTCCTGTCCTCTTAGAGTAGAAGCTGAACCCTTAAGAAAGATTTCTATTCCACAGTGGATCTGAAGGGAGTTTTCACCATGTAGCCTTTTAAGAAGAAACAGCAATCTAATGAAGTCTTGGTTAATTATTAACACTTAGTATTAAACCAAATTCAGATTTAAAATCACAACGGCTCCATATACTTTACCTCAGTATAAAGAATCCATGATAGAATAACTCTGGCTGAAGCGAGACTCCTCCTCACCCAACATTTTATTATCATCAGTCCATGCACTAAGCTTTTCATGAAGGTGTTTTGAATATAGTTTTGCCCTGACAATCAATAAACAAATGGGTCTACAGTTCACTGGGCAGACTTCAGTCCACTTTTAAAATCTGGAACTACTTCCTTTCTCCAAACCACAAAATATGCCATTATTTTTATTAATAAATAAATATATCTACTCTTGTTAATAAACAATACAGCCAGGGCACATTAGGTCCCCACTAATAAGTCTTAAGCATTTATGGTTTTAGATGGAATGCAATCTAGGGCTGCTGTTTTCCCAGACATGAATTGGATTATTTATTTACTTGAGGCTATTCTAATAGCTCTGTAGTCCTCGTTTAGTGATCGCAATTGGAACTGGCAACTTGGTTGTTAAGTGGAGAGGTTGCTAAGTGAAAATCATGTGACTGCAACTACGCTTACGATTTTACTTCAGTTTTTCTTTGCTTCTTGCTACTTCCTTCAGCTGAAATGGGGCTCTTTCTCTTTCTCTTTGAGGACATCTTGGTATGGGTAAATAAGCAAGTGAACATAAGAGCAGAAAGATGCTGTGAAGGTCGTAAATGCAAGGACTGGTTGCTAAGTTGTTTTTTAGCACCATTGTAACTTCAAATTGTCACTGCATGAGGCAGTGGCTAAGTGAGGACTACCTGTAGTTTCACCTGTACAAAAGCAGGCTTTAGGGAACTCATCTGCTATCCCCTCCTTAAATGGTGGCAGCCCCCAAATTTGGCTCAATATCTGCATTTAATACTCTGGTGAAGCCCCAAAGGGCAAAGACACTGTTTGTAGCATACAGGCCACTCTTACAATGAAGCTTGCACTTTTATTTACTAAAAAGAGGCTGGCAAGCAAGACCTGGTTGGCTTGTAAAGGAGCTCTGGCCTGGCAGAGGTGTAGAATGTCTTTACAGCCCTTTCCGTGACTATCAGCTTAGCTAATAGCATTAGGGAATAAAATGATATTACAGCAAACCATGGATGAATTTCCTAAACAGCTATGTGACTATAAGGGTGAGCAAACATATACCCCTCCTTGCTCCCCACCTCTTTTCATTTGCAGATGGGTTTTCCCCATCTTTCATCCTCCTGCTAGATCTTGCAGATAAACAATGGCAGATCTAGAAGGAGGATGTCTGCATAGGAATGTCTCTGATTCATTAATTCTTCCTTGACAATTCCTTTTGACAGTCAAATAAGTCAAATAGAGAAGGCAGAGTTTTTAGGGCTATTAAGATATTTTGCAATTTCTTCTTCATACCAGAAGGAAAGTCATAAAACAACTCAACCCAACTTGACAAAAGCTGTTCCCTACCTATCTTTGTCGCTTCCTGATGCCCTTTTTTTAGTTTTTACCACCTTCCCTTTTCTCACATGAACTACTTATACATGTGACCCAGGTAGAAATTCTGTATAAAAGGAGTAGGTAGTGCTCCACATTCAGAATCACTCTCTCGCTTTCTCTCTGTAGAAGGAGAGCTTCTATGGTGGTGAAAAAATCAGGAGTCTGGTAGCACCTTTTCTGACTGACAAATGTTATTAAAAGGAATAAGCTTTTGTGAGCTACAGCTCACTTCATCAGATGCAAAGAGTGGGTAGACGTGTGTGGTTTGTAAACTGGGATAAGAGGGAGAGGGGGGGGAGAGGGGGGGGGGGAGGGGGAGATAAGTTGTTATGCATATGCAGATTACATGTGAGACAGATTACAAGTACTTTATCAATTAACAATTGTAATGCATTAAAAAACCCATTGAGTTTGTTGGGACCTTCTGAGATTGCCTGAAACCTCCTTATATATGTGAGTTCAACAATTTCTTGCTCAATGGCACTTTTCTAAAACAACTACTTGTTTTTCCAGAATTGTGACTTTGAGTTCTGCTATGAAGTGTCCTGGAAGGTTGAAAAACTCTGGTATTACTTTGTCCCTGTTTTGAGTCCTGGTGCCAAATTTATATCTATTAATTCTTTTGCACAAAGTTTATCCCATTTGTCCTACCTTGAATCCAGAGGGATATTGTTGGTGAGTGATGGCATATACAGTATCACATTGGAGGAACAGCATGCGAAGGTACCTCTAATCTGGTGTGGGTATTTATTCAAAAAAGCCAAGCCAGATTTCATCACAAAGTAGCAAACCAAGCTAGGGAAGCCTGGTAGCACCAGGAAAGGGGATTCCTTCTCCCTTTCTCTCACTCAACTGGATCCACAAGGTATGGTTAAAAAAAAAGAAGTCAAGATGGCAGTCACTACCATACAATTGAAGTCAGACTGTTTTTTATGTGCATCAAGTTTTTTGACCATACCCTTGGACCCCCAGCTCTTGTTTCTTGACTCAGAAATCCTTTCCCTCCTTCCCTCTTTCTTTTTATTCACTGTTATCAAACTAAGCTGTCCCAATGAAAACACTGTACATGGAAATGTTACTCCTTTAAACTTCTCATTTTCTTTACTGTAGCAAGTAGCTTAATTATATATCTCTTACTTTTTGATATAGCAAGAAGTCTTACTGGTTAATCTTTAAGACTTTCTGAAATCCACTGCCTTTTCTTGCCTTTCTTTCAACACCCACTGGCTTTATCTCATTAACCTGAACGTATAAACTCTCCAAAGCCACTAACAGCTTAAACTGCTACGTTAGCCTGCAAATTGTCTCATTTTTTGACTTATCAAATACATAAGTTTGTTTAATACATAGAACAAGTGGTATGGGAAGCCTGAATATGTTAGATTTGTTAGTACAATTAAGGATATTAGAAGAATATTCTTCCATACTATAACTGATACATTACACATGGCAGCTGTACTGTTTCCATTGGTGAAAAACAAAATTCGCCAAAAGGTCCTTTTTGATGCTTTCCTTAATTTTGTTCCATCTTTTTCTATCTGATTCAAGTATCTTCCTGTATTATAAGCTTAGTCAAGCTGGAGAAGAGATCCTGGGAATACTTCAAAAGTCTTCCGTAATTCTGGTAACTACCTTTCAGCTGATTTCTAATTTTCTACATTCTCCATGTTATCCCATGTTGCCCAGAGCGGGCTTCTGAACAGACAAAGAAATCCTATATGAATACTGTCACATAATTTCATTATATGTTCAGGTTCTTTTATCTGCAGTAAGTTATCATGCAGAGATATGTGATTTTAGGACCCAATTTTCTCATTATATCACCTTTCCACATTTGTAGTCTATTTAATATCACTTAGATTTTCCCCATTCTCATTTCCTAATCTAAGTTGATACTTTAGGTGTACTTTAACATTAAAGCCATCTTCAATTCAAGTGCTGCCACTTTAGCTAAGGAGTTCCTATCTGAAAGTGGCCTGGGACGAATGCTTGCAAACTTACATCATGTAGTGGAAATGCAGCTGTGAAGACTTCCTCGCTCAGCAGCCTTTCTATTCCAACCTGCCCTGCCTTTGGGTTGCCATATGAGGTAGTGGACAGGATCTCATACAGCTAAAGAAAAGCAAAGAGGAGTTAAAGGAGGCTGTACTTTGATTTCCACACTTAGCAGCAACCATCACCCACATCACAAATTTTAAAGTCTAAACATAAGATAAAACTCCAGTAGTAGCCCTCCATTATACTTCCTAACATCAACATGCAACACTATGATTAGCTGTATATTCACACATGTTACCCTGCATTTGTTTCACTCCAGGCTTACTATTCTATGCCGTTGTGTGCTGCTGAAGAAGGTCTCATGGTGATCACTCCCAAGGAACCTGAGAAGGAAATTTCACTGAGAAACTACTAGATCTAAAACAGAGGCTACATAAAAGAGAGATTGTGATATCCCAGCTATTACTCCCATATACCCACTTACTGGTTCAATTGACACCTAACATGAAGCCAGTATTTGCCTTAACCATGGTTAAAGGCACTACATATAACGTTAAACTATAAAGCTATGTATAACTATAAATGGCTGGATTTTTCACAAGTTTAGTCTTACAGTTTTCAAAAATTGGTTTTTACCCCAGACTAGCATTAAAGATACCTTCTTAACAACCATGTTGGTTTTGCTTCCTTGGTTTTGCCAGCTATCTTGAGCTTGACTGTTGGAAAGTGGAGGAATTCAGGAACAGATCTTTGCTGGGGAAGGGAAGATCTTTAGAGAGTTTCCTCTCTAATTTATTAGGCTTAGGGACTGAGGGAGCAAGGTTGGCATTCCTGCCACCAAGCTAACACTGCAGCTTTTGTCAGTTTTTTGGTTTGCTTACATATAAGTACACACACATATTCAAAAGAGCACTAGTCCTGTTTTTTAAAGGACTATCACTCTTTCAAAATATTGGTAAACAAAGGTTGATAAGAAGCCTGCCTAACACTGACAAGCACTTCAGAAAGTGCTGGCCAGGCATTATGCAGGCAGATGCCTCTGCAGAAGACGAGTGTCTACTCTCTCCCGCAACCCAAATCACAATTGCCGTCAAGGGCAGCTTTGAGTGACCAGAGGGGAAGGGAATGTCTGCACCAGCCTAAAGTGTCTAATGTAAGTGCTGGGCAGATCCCATCCCCTCAATCTGTCATCACCAGCATTGTGATGAAGCACCATAGATCATGTCCATTGCATGACTTGTGTTGGGAAAAGAAGGAAAATGTTACTGTTAAACTAGAGTAGCCCAACAAGAATGTAAGCTGCTTTCACAGTGTGTTGGGGAGGAGATATGAAGGCAGCATCATGGGGCCATGCATTTTAAATGTGTTTATCAAGGGATCATTGTGCCATAGTTAAAAGGATGTGAGGGTGAGACAAAGACTAATTATTAATTCTTAAAGTTAGAGACAGAAATGTAGCAGCACAGATGTACTTCTTAGTAAAGAACTCTGACACAGCAGAGAAGAACCCATACATTGTGGAGATTTTTGCAGTGGTGTATCTGAAAAATCCTTGGTCTTTGCAGAATGCTGCCAAGGTCTGAAAAAGGAGGAAGCACGAATGCAGCTTTTTCTAATAATAGTCAAATGATTTGCAAGACATGGGTTGGTTTTTCTTAATATAACCAGATTAAAGCTCAGCAAATTTGGTTGCATGATTTTCTTTTGAGAAAAGAACCAGTGTTGTGATATTACAATTAGTCAGTGTTACTATTGTAATCTAATTGTAATGAGATACGGGATAAGCTAGGAAAAATAAGTATAGTTTGACAAGAGGACAGATCAAAGAAAGAAAACTCATACCAACATCTTACCAGGGTAACTTGTTTGCTTTAAAATGACAGGTATAGTAATCCAAGGGAATGTCAGGAACCTCATCATGAAGTAAATTAGGGATGCCCAGTTTCATCAGAATCCTGTGAGACCAGTTAGTTCCAGGTTCATTGGGCACAGCCTGGGATGCAGTAAAAGAGAAATATACTAAGCAAAAGGACCTCTTGCCATTAGTCTCCATCACATGCATACAGAGAGAGAGAGAGAGCGACTGAAAGCCAAAATTATTAAAGTCATGAGGAAAAGCGTAACACATAAAAGGAGATTTTCTGATATAGCTCCCTTTATTCCATTTCCACCTTTTAAAAAATATAAACTATTTTTACATGCCCCTATCCCCCAGACATGTATAGTGCAGGGATCACAGAAACTGGGCATTAGAAATTGGTGGAGAGTGAGTCTTCTTCAAATCCAAAGGACTACCATATTAGAAAAGCTGCTGCCAGACTGCTTCTGATTTTTTTGCTACCATAGACTAAAAAGCTCTCCTTCTACAATGTACAACGTGACTTGGAATCAAACATTATAAGATGCTCATAGTTAAGTGTGTGAATGCATTTAATATGTTCTGTTCTGCCTTAAAAATATCTGTGTGAGTAGAATTAAGACTGTTTGCTGCACCCTGATGCCACCAACCCCCTTGCCTTTCTTTCCTTGAAGAACACATTCGTTTTCAGGGGGAGAAGTTTTCCCTGGGCCACACAATGGGAAAAAGATTATAGTCCAGAAGTCTCCTAATTCTGATCCTATATACAGTTAGCAGTTGTTCTTTTTAAAGTGGCTATATTCAATGCATTTAGCAATTAAACTTGCTGCCTATATAAACAGCAGCCTATAACATTGCAAAATTACTCTTGGGCTTACAACTGGTCCATGTGATTAAGCCTTTTCCCATATTTTTTTCCTTCATTTATTTACTTACTTACAGAAACATCCATTACTTCCCAGCTTCCCAAGACACTGGACAGTTCACAAGAACAAACAAACAAACAAACAAATAAATAAATAAATAAATAAATTTAAAACCACTGTGCACAAAAGGAAGATACTGCAGAAGAAGGATATGGACTACCTTTCTGCCAACCTTGTAGTTTCCACATGGAGACAGTTTTTTATGGAGTAATGTTTGAATAAGCAACTTCCTTCCCATCAACTGCAATCTGATGTAATATAGCCAACAAACAACTAAAACCTCCAACCTGCTCTGTTTTGAGATCAGAATATAATGAATGACTTTAGCAGGGAGCAAAGCTTGATCCAGGGGTATTAGGTTTCATGGCATCCTCACCTGCAAGGGAACTCTGAGCCTGAGATCCTCAGCGTAATAACACTGCACACTCCAGGGAGCATTCAGTAATATAAAGTGGACCAGTTTCTTTGTATGTTGGGCTACATGCTGCAAAAACAGACCATTAGAGTCAATCAGCTACATCAAAATATTCTAGACTCTCTTGGGAAAATGTATTCAATTGGGGAGGCAAATATTCCTTTTTCAATGCACTCTTGAGCACAATAAGCTTAACAGCAGTTTATCTGAACCAGAGTGCTTGTGTTACTAGCCCTATCTGACCCCAATTATTACTAACAGCTATATTGGACTGAAATGATTCTCAACTCTTTTTCAGCCCAGTTTAAGTACCATAGTGCTGAGAATTATATGTTAAAAAGTGGAATTGGAAATAATGCTATAAATGTTAGTGCTCAAGAAAAAAAATCAATGAAAAGAAAATAATAAAAGCCACAAGAAGGTTGAAAGTCTGCTTGTGCAGATGGTGTAATTGGACTAATGTTAAAAAATGGATGTAGTTTGCTTATGGCTGTGTGATTTGTTTGATATACATGTAAAGGTGGCATTTTTGCCTTACGATTAGAATAATGTTGTGATTGTTCACCTATACATAACTAAAGTAGAAAGAGTGAATGCAAAACTTCTACAGGGATGTTTGTGAAATGTGCCTGGGATAATGTTCGCAAATGCTGATTGAAAGAGCATCAGAGGTGAAAAGGAGCACAGTTTGGTAAGTGCGGTGTGGCTTTACACCAGGCAGAGGATGTGCAGATCAGATTTTTGTTCTTCAGCAGGACACTGAGGAGTGAATGTAAGAAAGAGTAAGAGATATAAGAACATGCTACCACCTACTTTGTTATACGGATATGATCACTGGTTATGTCAGGATAAATATGAAAGTAAGTAGAATACAATGGAAATGGGCTACTTCAGAAATATGGGTGGGAAAACAAGAAGAGAGAGGATCAAGAATGAATGGGAGCTGAATTAATATGGATTAAATTCGAAACTGAATGAAAGACATACATTGAGGTGGTTTGGTCATATGGAGAGAATGAAGGAGGATTGAATTGTAAAACAAGTATACAAAAGAAAAGTGAATAAGTCAAAAGGAAGGGGAAAATTAGAAAATCGTGGTTGAACAAAAGGCAGTATATGAAATGGGGTATGGATCTAGTGAAAGATGGTTTACAGTGATAGATATGTATGGAAAGGTATAGAGAATGGTGTTGGCATATACTAGATTTGTTTTCTTATTTCATGCCTTTAATTTTGTCAGCTGTCTTTGCATAACATTGCTTATCCTAAAAGGGAAGGGCATAATGGGTATGGATGTAGGTAAATACCTAAGGTGCAAGATTGGGATACTGTACTTGCTAATACAATCGTGCCTCATCCATAGTGTTTTCCTTTCATATTTAGCCTTGTGAGAGGCTAAAACTGTTCACAATACTGAACAAAAGGGCTTTAAAAGGGCTTAAGGTAGGCCAAAACACTCATTTTCCTTTTTTCTCTGAAAGAAGGTGGCACCAATAAAATTGAGGCTGATACAACAAAAAGTTAAAATAAAGAGTGTTTCTCCCTCTGACAACCCCCCAATGCTGTTTGCATGCCTTTTCCATTCTGATTCCTGCCATCTGGAGTTTATGCAGAAAATTTTCCCGCCATTCTTTGTGCATTTCAATTGATCTCTTTTGTCTGGATTTTGGATTATCACTCTCTTCATTTTGGCCCTCCAGATTCTGGCAATCTGATTCCCATACAAGGATAAAGTCTGAGACAAAACATATACAGAGTAGAAATATTCCATTAGCAGTTTTTCAGTAGTAAAGAAAGTAAAAAGATAATCAAACACTGTAGTAATCTAGCAAGTATTCATAAGAATGGAGAATTACATGGAATGGACAAAGGGAAACCCAAATATTGTGAAGTTGCCTCTCTATTTTTGTCTCTCTTTTTGTTGGCCAACCAGGCAATATAAAATCACCAGGAAAACAACAGCAACAACAGTTTATCTCCTAAGGAAAAATACAAGAGGAAAGGAATGGAGTTCTCAAAATATGTTGCATTTCACATGACAAATGTTTTATACCAGATATAAGATAATAAGGATTTGAGATCCCACATTTCTTCACAATGTCTGGTTTGGGTCTATGTTGCTCATTAAGTGCTTTTTGGTGTAGAGATATTATATAAACCTGGTTTCCAAGCACATTTTTAAAACATTCTCCTAGCTAAATTGAACATAAATCAAGACTTCTGCAAGGAGAGGACAAATGATAGATTAAGACCTAAACATTTGACCAATAGGTGCAAGACAACTGATGACTACTTCAGGTAATGGAAAGGGGCAGGAAAGAAAAGAAGCATCCAGTTAGAGGTATCTCTTGAAAAGAAACAACTTGGTATGTGGTGCTTTGATGCGAACTATCTCTTTACTTACCTATCCTGGTTTTTTCATCACTGAAGAAGTTTGCAGTGCTGTTTACAAGGCAGCCCTTATTCCACTGAAAAAAAAATGTTAATGATCAACGGAAAAGCAGGTTGAGTCAGATTTCCCACTCCAGCTGAACTGATGGAAAAAGGAGATAAGAGCACAATCATCATTCAGCATACTGATCAGTAGGTTGTTCCTGGCCTCTTCTAAGTTTGAAACCATTTTTACAGCATCAAGATCCTCTTTGTGAGAATATGTGATAGGCTTAGGTTGATCTATTATTCTATACCTATTTTCTCCTGCAGAGGCATTTCACAAGTGTATTATAGCAGGGTGGGCAACCAGCTGGCCTGAGCCCCTTCTCTGCAGTCCCACCACTTCCTCTGACCACTGTTGTGAAAATTGGTGGAATTGTTTCTTACCATTTTGAGGCAGGAAGCAATATGAATAAAAGGTAAGTAAAGTCTCCTTTGAGTTGAGCAAAGCTCCTGGTGATTTCATGAGTTCAGCCATTTTCATGGCAACAGCAAAGAAATGCCTTGTCATTGCCTTTTTCTGGGATTTATTTCCTAACTTTTGAAAGTATCCTACTACCCTATTCTATCGTAATAACCACAGAAGTAGTCACCAAGTAATATCTATGCTGATTTTAACTTTTCTACTTAAAGTAAAAGGAAAGGTTAGGTAATACGTTACTTTTACTGTATATATGAATACATGTAGTCCCCAGTTTAACAACGAGTTAGGTCTATGCTTAAGTTGAATTTGTA